AGGTGGATCCCACGTACCTAGCTTGACAGCTAGGACAGGTAAATAAGTATACCACATTAGAACATAAGTCAGAGCTGTGATTTAAAGGATGTTTTAAGAACTTAGCTATTGTGTTGTTGTTACTAAAGACAAAGGTAAATTTAATCTGGGGGTAATTAATTTGCAAGAGCGTTTTTAACCGTTTTCTGATTTCAAAGCTTAGATCACCCATGTAGGGTAGTTTAACATATCTATGGTCTCTTTTAACCGTGGAGACAATTTGTTGATTGGTGAATTTCTTACACAGAAAGGTTTTAGTAATTTTATCACACAACTGTAATGGGTACCCATTAGTAATAAAAAAGTTTTTCAGAAATAACAGTTCATTATGGAGGCATTCCAGGTGCTACATAGATTGTAGGCTCTAGTTATAAGAGTTTTCACACTATTGATTTTGTAAATATACGGGATGTAACTGAGAAAATGTAGGCCGAGGCCAGTGAAAGTGGGTTTACGGTAAATGCTAGTTTGGAAGATACCATTGTTGTTAGTGATCATAGTATCTAAAAATGGCAATTGGTTGTCCATTTGCAATTCACAGGTGAATTTGATGCTGGGGTGTTTGGCATTTAGGTAATCTAGAAAAAGATTAATGTGTGAAGGGTGCTTAAAGAGCAGGAAAGTGTCGTCGATGTACCGACGATAATGTAGGGGTTTGAATTCAGGCGGGCAGTTATCTAGCCAGCTTTTCTCATGGTGACATAGAAATGCATTAGCATAGGAGGGGCCAAGTGGAGAGCCCATAGCTACGCCATCTGTTTGTGCATATAGGCAGTCGTTAAACGTAAAAACTGAATGATGGGCAGTGATTTCCAATAACTTTTTGAAGGTAATCGTATCCAAACCATATTTGTCAAGATAAGTATTGTCCAGGTTGTTAGCTATCAACTCCGTGGTCTCTTGTAGAGGCACGTTTGTGAATAACGACTCGACATCAAAACTCGCCATAGTGACGGGTTGTTGGAAGTTCAGAGACGTGATTTCTTTAACAAAGGATGTGGAATTATCAATAGTATATTGATTGGATGTTAAAGGGGAGATGATGGGAACAAGAAATTTTGCGGTGTTGTAATTGAAAGTGCCAATCGAGGAAATTATAGGCCTTAAAGGGATATTAGGTTTATGAACTTTGGGTAGTCCATAAAGAACACCAGGTCTGGATCCAGAAGTCATAAGAGAGTTGTAGGTGTTTATGTTAATAGATGCTTTGATAGTACGAAGAAGTCTATTTAGTTTGTCTTCTAAATATAACAAATGGGTGGAAATTTTTGTCGTGATTTGTTTGAATTTTGTTTTGTCACTGAGAATATCCATTAACTTTTGTTCATAATCACATTTGTTTAAAATAACAACTCCTCGTCCCTTGTCTGGTTTAGTAATTACAATGGTATTGTCATTCTTAAGGGTTTGAAGTGGTGACAGGAGAACATCGGAGTCAAAACCTAGTCTCCTCTGTTGAGATAATTTTCTAAAGGAGTTGTTGGCTATAGTTGTGATGTTAGTAACTTTCATTCACCAACTCTACGCCCCCCAACCTCTTCTTCACAATCATCATTAGCCCAATTCAATCCACTGCAGGATGTATATATATGTATATACATATATATACATATATATATATTATATATATATATATATATATATATATATATATATATATATATATTCTCTTTCCCATATTTTGCTATTTCGTCACGACATAGTCATTGGTCTGGCTCTTGGCCTAATTATGTTATCTGTAGTCCAGTCTGTTACTTTCTTTATTTACCTTTAGCGCTTCGCCTTGCACATGTATCTGTTCGAATTGAACAGATACATGTTGAACATGACAGTCTTTTTCTTGTTCATCCGAAGTCTGGCTTTCATACTTTCTCTATTCAGATCGTCTATTGCTGCATTTCATTTGCTAATTCACTGAAAACAATATCGTTCGCAAATCCTAGATTGTATAGGTATTCGTCTCCTATTTTGACACCCTTTCCGTTCCATTCCAGCTCCGGCAACAGAAGCCATCGCTTCTGTTCCCGCTGCCTCTGCGTCGACGACACTTTGCAGGCAGACGGGATCGTGGCGTGTGCTATGTTATCCCGCGCTATGGAGCTGCCAGGGGGTAACGGATGGGTTGGCCATAGATTGCCTAACTGGACAATCTTGCTAAGAGTGCTTGTTTCCTGGAAATGCCTGATATACACGCCCTCCCTCCGGTGTACAAAACTAATATATTCTACGAATGCTATAATTTAATCATGAATCGTAAGAATGTAGAACGTGATAGCAGTGTTTCCATCCAACACTATGAAAATGTTGTGATTTGTGCCATTCAATACCGTCGCCATAGGCTCATTATACGCAGACGCATGCGGTGAGTACGAGACCGGTTAGGGTATTGCCCAGTGTGGCAGGTGTCTCGAGCAGAGGGCATGCTCCAACTTTCCTCTTGCAGATAAGGCGATCTTCCCGATGCCAGCACTCTGCACCATCATCGACCGGAGTGGGGCCGCCCCGCTGTGAAGGGCCTGCCACCCCAGGGACGAGATCTCATTTGTGTTTGGAAATACTGCAAGGAGATAAGTTAGACACCATTCTTGTGAGACCCGCATTTTGGTGGATATCAGCCGTTTATTTTTTTTCTCTGTGTGTGTAACATACACACACACACATACAGACACACACACACACACAGACATGCAGACACACACACACGCAGACATACAGATACACACACACACACTTATGCATATATCATACATGCATACATACATGCATATACACATTTACATATATATATATATATAATATATATATATATATATATATATTTACATGTATGGAATACATACATACATACATATATATATATTATATTATATATATATATATATATATATATATGCATATATGCATATATATATATATATATATCTATATCTATATATATACATAGATATATGCATATATATATATATATATATATATATATATATATATATATATACATAATATATAAAAGGTGTATAGGAGCAACCAGGTCAGGAAATGGCTTGATATCACTCGATGGCGCAGCGCGATCTATCGTTCGTTCACAAAGCTCCGTGTATCGTAGGAGTCCATCGTTGACCTTTTTTCACCAAATGTATACTGAAAAATATCAAAATCCAATATATGTAATGAAAAAAGGCACTACGACAGGGAGCAATTATATTTTTTACGTTACAAGCTGGTTGACAAATCGATAGGAATCAATCGAAGGCGCAGAGCGATTGGCCGATCATAGCTTCGCATCGGTAATTCCACTAATCAGCGTCCGTCGCTGGCGCAGCGCTATCTATCGATGACTGCGCCAACGATGGATCCATAGATGGCGCAGCGCGATCGATCGATGGTGCATGTGTGTATGTGTTTGTGCGCGCGCGCGCGTCTGTGTGTTTGCATACGTGTGTGTGTAGGCACGGCGTCTGCCTGAGCGTTCCCTGGCCCCTCCATCCGGCCGGTCCACCTGGCGGCCGATAAGCACTGCCTGAACGGGGATCGCCTCTATAAAGAGGGCGAGATTCTCCCCGTCCCCATTCCCCTGTCGGCAGTCGCAATGGTAGGTATGGGAGCGAGGGAGGAGCCAGGAGGATGCGCGGGTGTCTGGCTCCAGATCTTGTCATCGCTGTTGCACTACGCTCTGCTTTGTTATGATAATCATATTCATTACTGTTATGATCACTGCGACTGTTTTTAGCATTGTAAACAATGTTGCTATTTCTGTGTATATCGTAAATATTATTGTCACTGTTATGTATCTATAATAATAATCATAATAATTATTATTATCATTATTATTATCATTATCATTTCATTATTATGATTACTATTATTATTATTGTCATCATCATTAATATCATATTATTATTACCATAGTGAATATTGATAATCATTATTCGTAGTGCTATTGTTATTATTATTTTATTACCATTATCATTAATATTATAGTTGTTATTATTGCTATTCTTATTTTTATTTTCTTATTTTTTTGCTATTTTAACCATCATTATTGTTATCATCATTATTATCATTATTGTCACTATTATCAATATCATCATTATCATCATCGTTATTGACTCTTATAATCATTGTTATTATTATGATTTCGTTTACTATTACCATTATCATTATTATTAGCAGTAACAGTAGTATTCGAATTACCATTATTATTATTTTTGTGGTTGTTTTTATTATTTTTATTATCATTAAAGCTATTATTATTATTATAATTATCACCATTGTTATCGTTATTATTATTGTTATTATTATTATTATTATCATTATTATTGTTATTATTATTATTATTATTATTATTATTATTATTATCATTATCATTACTATTATCTTTTATTATGATTATATTATTGTGATCATTATCAACAAAATTATTATCATTATTTCCAATCCATTATTTAACATTATTGTTATTATCATTATCATTATCGTCATTGTCATAATTGTTATTATTATAATCATCATTGTTATTATTTTCATTATTATTTCAGTTATATTATTATTATCATTATTACTATTATTATTATCATAATTATTATTATTATCTTGAATTTTATTATTATAATCATTATTACTGTTGTTATTATTGCTATTATTATTAACATTATTATTATTCCCATCATTATTCCTACTACTATTATCATTATCATCATTATTACTGTCATTATCATCATTTTATTTGTTATTATTGTTATCATTATTATTATTATTATTATTATTATTATTATTATTATTATTACTAATATTATTACTATTATTATCATTATTATTGTTATTACTATTAGTATAATTATTGACATTATTATTACCACTATCATTAATATTGTTATTGTTCATATTATCATTGTTATGGTTATTATTGTTATCATTATCATTGCTCTTGATATTATTATCATTATTATTACTATTATTATTACAATTGTTATTGTTAATACTATTATCATTATCATTACTATTGTTACCCTGATCATTACCCTCATTATTGGAAATGCTATCATTGCTTATATCATTATCATTGTTATTATCATTATTAAATTCATTATTATTGTTATTATCAACATTATCATTATTATTATTATTGTTGCTATTGTCCTTATCACTGTCAATATCATTATAATATTATGAATATAATTTCTATTATCATTATAATTCTCATAATTATCATTATCATTATTGTTATTATTATCATTATTATCACTATCATTATTATTATCATTATTATTATTTTCATTATTACCATTATTATTTTTATAATTATTATTACCATTATTATTATTATTACCATTATTAATGTTATCATTAATATCATGATTATAATTGTAATCATTATCATTGTTATCATTACTACTATTATTATTATTATTATTATTATTATTATTATAATTATATTATTATTATTATTATTATTATTATTATTATTATTATTATTATTATTATTATTTCTATCTCTACACTCATTATCATAATTAATATAATGATAATATTATAATGATAATGATGATAATATTAGTAATGATATCAATAATAACAATTATAATACTAATAACTATAACAATCATAGTAATAACAATATAATGATGATAATAGTAATAATGATAATAAAGGTGGTAATGATAATGATAATAATGATGAAAAATGATACTAATAATGATAGTAATGATGATGATGATGATAATAAGAATAAAGATGATAATCATAATGATAAAAATGATAATAATAACAATTATAATAATAATGACTAATAATAAAGGTAGATATAGCGATGATGATGATGATGATAATGATGATGATGATGATGATGATGATGATGATGATGATGGTGATGATGGTAATAATAATAATGATGATAATATTGATGATAATAATATTGATGAAAATGATAATAACAATACTACAAATAATAATGATAATAATGATAACAATAAAAGAAATAATATTAATGATAATAATAATACTGGTAAAAATGATAATAAAGGTGACAATTATAATGATGATAATGATGAGGATAATAATTATACTGAAAAAAATGATAATGATAATAATAATAACAACAACAACAACAATAATAGTTATAACAATAGTATCAATAATAATAGTAATAGTAAAAACAATAATAATGATATTGATAACAGCAATAATAATAATAACAATAGTAATGAAAATAATGGTAAAATACCAGTGCTAAGGATAAAGATATCAATTATAATAGCTTATAACGATTATAACGATAATAATAGTAAAAAATGATAGTGATAATAATAATAATGATAACAGCAACAACAAAAATCATAATAATAATGATAATGAATAATTATGATAATAAAGATATTGATAGTATCATGATATTAGCAATAATGATCATAACAATAATAATAATAGTAATGATAATGATAATGATGATGACGATGATAATGATAATAATAATAACAATAATAGTATTAATAATAATAATGATAATAATGATTATGATGATAACTGCAATAACAATAGTAATAACAACAATGATAATGATAATGATAATAACATTAATAATTATAATAATAATAAAAATAATAGTAATAATAATGATAATGATAATAATAATGATAATAATGATGATGATGATAATAATATAATAGTAATGATAATAATGATAATAATAACAATAAAAATAATAATAGCAATGATGATAATAAAATTAATAATAATGGGGATAATAGCATTATTATTCTCATTATGAATAGCAATAATGATGATAATAGTAATAATAATACGGAAGTTGATCATAATAATAGTAATAATGATAATAGTAATGATGATAAAACAATGATAAGAATAATAACAATCATAATAATAATTATAATAATTGAAAAATGATAATGATGATGATGATTATGCTAATGATAATAAGAGGAATAAAAATAGTGATGATAATAATAACAATGATGAAAGTAATAATAATAATAATAATAATAATGATAATATAAATAATAGGAACAATGACAATTATACTCGGTATAGTATTAGTGATAACAATAATAATGATAATTAGAAGCACTCAGAGAGCGCATACCTCCGCCAAGGCAATAGAGTCACATGCAACAAAAATATTCATACTTAAAGAACTGAATCAAAATCAACTATCTCAAGTACGCTGGTGACCTCCTTGGCGAAGGTGATAAAGGTAATGATGATAATAATACTTATTGATGCAATCCTTCAAAAAAAAAAAAAAAAAAAAAAAATCCTGAACTAGGGTCTTAACTGACGCCTCTGGTAAAAAAATATAAAAATCTGTTCTTAATTTCTTGAGTTATCCAGCTAAGCAGCGAACAAACTAAGTAACTAGTGCGACCAAAAACATAACCTCTTTGGCGGAGGAAATGATAATAATAATGATGATAACTATGATGTTAATGATAATGATAATAGTCATGATTTTGGCAATAGCTATATTAATAGTTATGATAATGATAGTAATATTGAAAATAATGATAATAATAATAATGATAATAATAATAACGGTAATAATACTAATACTAATGCTAATACTAACAAATATAATGATAGCAATACCAATGATAATGATGATGATAAAAAATAGTGATAATATAATAACAACAATAATGCTCTCGTAAGAATTCCTTAAGCGTGCTCTTGCCCCTCCCCATTGCACATTACTTTCAATTTCCTTTTCGTAGAGCAGGTGACATAATGTCGAATCGTATAATACTTCATTTTTCCAGAAATTCCTTCTGGTCCTCGCGTGCCTGCTTGGCTTGGCCCTCGGTGGCTGGGAGAGGGAGCTGCAGTGCGACTACAACATCACGAGCCTCTGCCCGTTCCCCGACAGCGGAAGTAAGTCATAATGATAACGGTGACTGTGATGTTGATGGTTATGATTATAATAATATGCTGGTGCAGCTTTTGTATGTTATTAATGTTATAATGACTTTTATCATACGAATTGCCATCATCAATTTGGCCAAATGAGGCACAAATCAGGTCATCCCAATAAATATCGTTTTTGGGTCCAGTCGAACTCATGCGTCCAACAGCCCTTCATTCACAAGCATGTCTCGCACACAACTCCTAATCACACTCCTACCCACAGGCCCCGTGTACTTCGCGGACCCGGACGACTGCAGCGCCTACTGTGAGTGTTCTGCAGGCATCGCCTGGAAATTCTTCTGCGGCCCAGAGACGCTCTATGACGAGAACCTTCACCTGTGCAACTGGGAGGATATGGTCGACTGCGGCGAGCGCCCCATCATCTAGCTGGCGAGGCTCACATGCTAGCGTTGGCACTGGGCTGGCTTTGCCTTTGTGGACGGCTGACATTAAAGTGATTCATGTGTTCCGTTGAATTTTCCTATATCAACATTTTACGCAGACGAACAACTTCATTCATCCGCATAACATTTGACCTCGACACACCGAAAAGTACCCAAGTACAGATATATGGCCGCATCAGTTTTCTTGTGGGTATATCAAAGATAATGTGAAATACATATTCATCCGGTCGAATCATTTTCAAGCTCAATGGCTTCTCCTTTATCACAGTGAAAATGTAATCACAAATAATTACCGGAGGGAATTATGGGCACTGAAAGAACGCGTGAAAGGCAAACTGCAGACGACCGAGATGTTAACAACACAAATACGATTCGACCACCAAAGGAACATTGAGAGAGAAATCACGTTCTGGATTCTTGACAAGAAAGGAAGCAAACACGATGGCCGAAAATTTCAGAAAAATAATCTAGTATAGGCGGAAAAAAGACCTCTTAAAATGTCACAAAACAGAGGGCAAGACAGGAGTGTTGGGGAGGAACACTGCTAATAAAAGAGAAGTCTGCGAAGATTCATGAATATACGCCACAAACACAAACACACATATATATGGAAGGAAAACATCCACATTAAGATATGAAAATAAATGTTTATTTTAATATCCTATTCTGGCTGCTTCCCTTTCATTTTTGTGTAAGTTAGTGTGTTTGTGCTAGTGATCATATATATATATATATATATATATATATATATATATATATATATATATATATATATATATATATGGTAATTTTCTATATTACGTCCGCATGACCGATAACGACGATTTTGGTATCGTTGGATTCCTCTCACTCTCCACATTGCAAATATATAGTTTTTATTGCGCGCTAACCCCCTGTTAGCGACAAACTTGGCCCCGATAGCAGGGGAGGGCATGAAAGGTTCCGGGGAAAATGCGGGTTAATTAGTAATTAGCGGCATTAATAAATCAGGTTAGTACCTTAAAAATCCTAGGTTATTGTAGGTTATCGGCTCCGCATCTAGTTCGTGTGCGCTCTATCCTGCCGTGAATACGGGGTGGAGGTTTTGTTTCCTCGGCGGGGGTTGGGGGCGGCAGCCCCCCCCCCCAGGGGGGATCGCAGGGGGCGCAGCCCCCTGCAATGGAAAGTCATGTGAATAACTATGATTATTTTCACTGTGAGGTTAAATTATTAGGGTAATTTTCTATATTACGTCCGGCGCTCCGACATCGTCGCCCCCGCAATCGGGACCAAGTTTGTCGCTAACGGGGGGTTAGCGCGCAATAAAACCTATCTATTTGCATTGTATAGAGTGAGAGGAATCCAACGATACCAAAATCGTCGTTATCGGTCATGCGGACGTAATATAGAAAATTACCATATATATATATATATATATATATATATATATATATATATATATATATATATATATATAATATAATAATAATAATAATAATAATAATAATAATAATAATAATAAACACAAACCAGTTTTTCAAACATCTGAGTGACAGGGAGTTTGAACCTTCGCATAGATAGGGTTACATAAAAGCAGCGTTTTTACTCGAAATTCATGTAGGCCTTTCCTTAAGGCAATGCGCTCCGCTCTTGCTCCACATTATATGTTCTCTTATTGAAGGCAGCTTGATGGATCATTTAGGTATTCATCTTTTATATACTTTTTCATAAAATTACTAAGAATAGCCTTCACACTGTTGGTGATAGGCCACAAAGCTTGTGGACCTATTGTCTATCTGGATCTTGTTTTTATATTGTATTTAGTGCCAAATTTTGCCATTTTTTGCTAAAGGTGTGCTAAATGTACCTGGTGCACGTAAAAAGTACCAAATTTGATACGTTAGTAGCAAAAACAGCAACACTATTGGGGAGGGTAGACGTAAAATAACACAAAATGTTGCTCTAACCAAGCACTGGAAAAAAATCAGTGTGTTGGACTTTCCTTGCTCTACCGAAGACGGCTCTTGATTGACCTGTAGGAGCCGAGCAGCCCAAGAGCTGCACTGACCGCTCTTGTCACACACGCTACCCCACCCCTATCCTCCAACTTACCTCTACTACCCCCTCTGCCCACTGCCCTACGCCACCGCCTGTCATGGCTTCTGCGTCACCGTCTGCCACAGATCCGCCAACATCGCCTTCTGCTCCGCCTCCACTACCGCCAGAGTTGTAGAGATTCACTACACCGCGACACAAGCCACTCCCTCCGGAAACAAGCTACGAAAAGTCACCTTCCCAGCCGCCAGGAGGACAATGGTTTGCCAACGCGATCCGGCAGACGACTTACTGCCGCACATTTTCAAAAAACTGAATGGCGTTCTGGGTAAGTATGTTGAACAGCATGCCCTTCGCCACGCAGAGAGAACTGAAGAGAAGCCTGGAATTAAAACACCTGATTGAAGAGCTTGTAAAAATCAACAAAGAGGAGAGCACCACAAACATATTCTAAATGATAAAATGGTTATAGTGTATTCATTAAGGATCCATGATTATCATCATTACCTTTATTACCTCCGATGTTATTTTTAAAGTGTACTTAAGAAAGAGGGATTTTTTAATGTAATTCTTTAAGTGTGAATATTTTTATTGAGTCAGTGACCCTATTACCTTCGGAGGTATGCGCTTTCTGTGCTTCTAGTTATTATTGTTATCAGTATTATTGTTGTGATTGTTATTCTTCATCTTATCATTACTATCATCATTATTTAATCAGCAGTAATATTTTTATCCCTTTTACATCATTTGGCCTTGATCTAATTACTATAAATTACTCAAGCCGGAAAAGAACAAGTTTGTAAGTGGATACAGAAATGCTAGACAATACACCGTTCTTAAAGCTAATCCAATGAATGCATGCTACTACCCATGTATTCATGAGAGTACGCGACTATATGAACAAAAATGAAGTAAAAGACTATAAAAATCTGCAGATATATATTTTTATTCGTATTGGTCTTTCAAATATAGTACATTAATTTCACCATTTCACATAGAAAACACAAAAACACAGAACTACGTTTTTACACCGTTATTCCATTCATTCCTATGGAATGCTTGAGCATTCGATTTTGTTTTAGTTCTGAGTTCATGATTGCAGAAAATTCGTTTTTTTTTTTTATTTCATAGATGTGCTCCTCCCTCAAAAAGGACGCTTTGCTGGCGTCAGGGAAGGTCGCTTCTGTAACCTAAAATGTTTTCAGCATCATCAGTATAAAGTCTGTGAGGCAAAAATGGGAAAAGCCAACTGCAAAGTCAGAGAAGACTAAAATTCGTACATTTCCGTTAATGACTTTTCCTTCCCCCCCCCCCCCAACAAAAATAGATCTGGAATTTCCTATATGCAAGTATAAAAGGGTGAGCGGTGGATGTTACATTGCTAAAGACGCTAGTTCCTGAATAGGTTATGAAAAAAATATGTATTTATGAAAAAAAAACATGTATTTCTTTCAAGGATGTCTTCTGGCAATTCATGACAGTATTCGGATACATAAATTCAGTTAAAATTTCCTTTTGAAGTTTGTCAATTTCTCATTTTCTTCGGCTGGTGTCAAGGCAGAAATTTATTCATCTAAGGCTCTTCGGAAGACACTGGTGGGGCCTCTGTAGGATGAGGACGGAGGCCGCAGTCCACAGTGTCAGCCCAGTCACACAAATCCTTCTCGTCATTCCAAAGGGTTCCCGGACCACATTCCAAGTGCCACGCAATGCCTCCTGAGCATTCACAATAACTAGCACAGTCCTCAGGATCAGGGAAATAGGTCGGCTCTGAGAGAGGAGTAAATAGAGTTAACTAACCAGGTTCAATACCTGAAAAAGGTATCGTCATGCACCGATTTACATACATACTTATCATAAATGTTAAAGTGGCAGAACATAAGCCTGCGTTTATATCTTACGCTGGCCGTCCTCAGCGGGGCACTGGTCAGAAATGGCCACATCGCACGGGACGCCGTCCTGCGCCAGGCAGACCCCCGCCGCCGCGAGCACCACAAGAAGGAAGCTTTTCTGGCGGAGGGAAACGGACGCAAGGTGAGAGGAGACCCATCTCTGGAGCGGCGGGATTATGGGTTCTTGTGCAGTTATTACCATGTAGAAGTAGCCGTT